TGGCACGGCAATTTATGAAAGATGATTAGGTACATAGTTGTCAGTTTGGTTATATTTTTCATCGATCATATTATTTTCTAAACTATTGTTATTATAATGTAGGTGCTGTTATAATATCGGTTGCTGGCCGATGACACTTTAGGTTTTGGACAGATAGCTGGATATTTCGCGGACCGGCGGTTGAGAAACACTGAGCATGGCCAACTAGATCTCCAGATCTGAACCTGATTAAACATGTCTGGGAAAGAAATATCAATTAGCAAATTGCCTCTCTGACAGCAATTAAGGAGCTAAGAACTAGTTAAGCTACGGCTGCCACAAAATCTCATCAGGCCCAGATTAAGATGGACTAAGCATTTAAATGATTTTGGTACCCCCACCTATTTATGTAGTTTTATCCTTCATTCCTTATTTGTATTGGTTTTGGTTTAGTTGCACCATGCATTCAAAGGTAAAACTGGCAATGGGAAACTATTTTGGTTTCCTTTCTTGAATATCTAAGCATCTTCTTTGTGGTGCCCTCTTTCCTTGATGCCCTAAAGCATGTACATATATTGCTTAAGGGTTAATCCAGCCCTGAATATCATTCACTATCTTGTTAATAGTATTACCACTGTGGGATCTTCCAGTTTTATGTAAAATAAGAAAATTACAGAAATTTGGTGATGGTGAAAGTATAATTTGGGCAATATTACTACTATATTTATGATGTTAAAGAGTATTTTTTATATACAGAAATTAACGTTATAAAATTTTAAAAGTTCCGATTATTAAAATAAGTAATGGTGCAAAAGACTTTTTTGTTCGTAATATTTCTAACAAATTTTTGAAAAAACTTCTTTGAAGAATTATTATTATGTGGCCTGACAATTTTGATAACACTCTGAAATATTATTACAGTTTATATTGTGGAATCCAAAGAGGCAATTTGCCTAGAATTTAATTTCGTTTTGGCATTTTGCGTTGATTCAGTACAAGCTTTGTTTCACTTTTCAAATTTTGCCACCAAACATTATCGCCCTGCATTATATTTAAATTAAATAATGAAGAATCTGCACAAATGTATGTATGTTTGTTTCTTTCATTGTGATAAAATAATGGTACCTTAGGGTCATCAAATTTTGAAGAATGTAATCCTCCTGCGAATATGAGCATCTGGAAGCCCAAATTTGAAATTTCTTTTATTATCAATTTCATAATTTGTAAAACATTAATGAATTTTTGATTAACAAACTCAAGGATTTCAAAGCGAGCAACAGCAATGTTGTACAGAAAAAAACATTTTTATCTCCAGCGTGCGAGACTGTGTATGGGAAATTCTAAAGCTATGCTCGTTTTAAAATTATTTTGCAACGTTGCTGTTGAACTGAATTTTATGGTTTAAGTGCGATGAACATGATATTTCATAAATAAAAGTAACACATAAAATGTAAAAAAAAAAAAAAAAAAAAAAAAAAAAACACCATTTGGACGTAATTTAAAACCCGAAACCTTTCAGATTTTGTTTTTAATAATTATTTTGGTCAAAATTTTAGGATTTGTATTTTTCAAATTGTTTCTCTTCATCTACTGATGGTTTAACACTTTATCTCTTAAAAAGGCTTCTCTGTCGCCCTGCCTTTTTCTCTTTGAAATAGGGCAGAGCTTTACTGGAGCTGGTACTTCTTAGTTTTTGGGAATAAATCATAATCCTAGCCAGAGTGCACATGAGCCCTAAATAAGAAGGCCCTGGAACTTCTTTTATGTAACTAAACAACAATTTCAGTACAGATTTGATCTTAAAAATTTTATTTTTAGGAATAAAATTATATCAAAAATCACTTATTAAATTTTAATTTATTTCTTTAGATTTTATTACATTTTAATTAGTAATTTAATCGTTAATTATTCTGTTATTTTAATTAGTTATTTAACTCATTAAATTATAAATGATTTTATTAATTTATTTATTCGAGTTCCTCTTTCTTGATGGTCTACTATAGGGCTCCTGCACTTTATGGAAACGAAAAATATGTAAATAAATTTATAACTTAAATTTGCAATAGCCCTTTAGTTCTTCATTTTAATATGAATACTTTCCCTAGCTACTCTAAAAATAGCAGTTGTTTAATAACTTTTTTTGGACTGCATGGTTTCTGTATTAATCCATCATATGATTTTTACATGATGATGCTGAAGCTAATTCAGATTGAAACGTATATCTCGACAAGATTCCAAATTGAAATAACTATGTACAGTCAAATGTCGTTAATCCGGACCTCAAAGCTACAAAAATTCTGCGTATGCATCAATGCATAATGCGTTCATGCATGCGCATAATACGTTTACGCATGCGCGTTAAACGAGTAACGGACGGTATAAGCTAAGCTAAAATTATCTAATTATCTATTTCAGTTAATGTTGCAGATTGCGTTGTTCCTTAATCTTTGAATTGTTATTATCTTTTGCAGACTGTTAGCGCAATTTTATAAAAGTAAGCTTGAATTTTCGATTATGTCAAAAAGAATTTCCAATATATATTTACTAATATGTAAATATATATTGGAAATTCTACAAAGGATCTACAAAGCGAAAGTATGTTTCGATGTCCATCAAAGAAAAAGTGGAATTGATGCAAAAAATGAATAAAGGCATATCCTTTGTTTCTCTAACCATTCCGAAATCTGTTTACCAATTTCGCGCTGCTCTGCGGGTAGGGGGGATGAATGATGGGAAACGCCGCGGCACGCAATGAATTCGAAGTTGATCTGTCAGCACTATCCTTTTCTTCAGGGCAGATGTTTTTGTTTTATTCAGCTTATAATTCCTTACTAAATGTAGTATTTCATCTCGATGTATTCCGTCTTTGATGTGATTTAAATCAAATTCCTCGTCATTATAAATATCACGAGTACACATCAAATAGTTTTCTGGTTGCAATTTTCTAATTTCGACTATGCGTAATGTATGCTTTACGCATGCGCCTGTTGAAAGAAATGTTTAATAAAGTAAACAAATAAATATTAAGCTTTTTTTTTTTTTTTTTTTTTTTGTAAATTAGATCATAATTGCTCTTTATTTCATAAATTATGGTTTCATATTTTTAATTTTATAATTTCTGCATGCCATCTTACCAGATTTAAACTGATGATCTATAATCCGGAATCGAAGAAGTCTCGACGAGTCCGGATTAAAGACTTTTGACTGTACTTGCTTTCTGCTCCCTGCCATACCTAGACTGCTCTTCTTATTGCAGAGCTATCAAAAATTTAATTGTTCTGAATCAGCCACAATTAGATTGCGAAGTGAATTTTGGCCACAAATGTCAACTGAAATAAAAATGAATATTTAATCCACTTTGGCTGACAAGTTCCTCTTTTCATGGATCTGTGCTATCAATATTTTCAAATCATTGCATCTAAGTCTACTACATACATATATACATATTTGGCCTAGTATTTATCTGGTTTTTATTATGAAGCTGCTATTTCATGTTTTTGTTTGTTTTATCAATGAAATTTAATGTTTAATTAGCTTATTTTTGTAAGTTCTATGTAGCACATTTGAAGTGCACAGGCACTATGCATATGTTAAAAAAAGGGGGAAGAGGTTTATTGAAAAATATGTTTGACATACCTTTGCTCACTTTTTACCAGGTAAACAAATACACTCTAGTTTCTATGAGTACACCATTTCATATGCTGATGCTAACAGATACCATGAAAAAAAAAAATTTTTTTTTTTTTTTTTTTTTTTTGTATATTCTCATATTTAATTTTCAGTTCTTAACCCATTGATAGCCCTGCAGGTTTTTCTATAAAATATTGTTTATAGGTGCTAAAAGAACTCCCTTGCGACATATTAACAAGTTCCTACTTGAATTATTTTTACCCCAAATCATTTCACAAACAACATTTAAAAGCAAATATTCCGAAGATGAAAGCATATGGAGACAAGCCACCAGATGAGACCTCTTGTAGTGAACAGTAAAACAATTTCTAATATCGATAAAATAGACCTCTATATATGAAGGTGGCAAACTTCACCTGCAGGGACAAAAATATATTTTTATTCAATGTAATTAACATTCACCAGGAAAATAAATGCTTTTCTGATGATATCACTTTTATCAGATTTTATTGCTTAAAAGAGACAACAATAAAATACATACTTTTAATTAATAAATACAGACCTATGCTTAAATCATAAAAGATTTTAAAAATTCAAAGTAAATAAACTAAGAAGCCAATTCCTTTCCCTTTACTACTTTTTTTTAAAAGCATAGATTTATGCTCAACAAGTTCATTTTTGCTGATATGATAGAAATTTATACGCCACTTAGAAGATTTATCATGACATATCAGAAAGCAAGCTGATGCCACAACTGAATAAAAACAGTGGAAATTATCTCTTTCAATAAAGCAGATGTCTGACTTTCTACCACACAGACCACTCATGACAGTAACTCAGTCAACATTTGTCACTAAGCTCTTTACAGAGATGATGCATAGTAAGAGAAGATGGTGGTAGCCACAGTAGTCTTTTGGATTTAATTTCAAAAGACATGTATGCCTGAAGGTGTCAACAATACTATCATTGTGCATTCACTTCCTGCTATTCTCTCGAAACTTTGCAACTGTGTCATTGATGCTGTGGTTCTGGCCAATTAGGATGTATCGGCACATGTGCAAGATGAAATGGATTATTGCAAAGATTCTACCATATCAGGAAAGATGAATATATTGAGCATTTGTAAAATATATATGGAAAATTAAGTCAGACCGGTACAAAATTTGGTGTTAGTTGCATATTTTATATACTATCAACTGTTAAAATGTTTTACAGAATTATGAATAATCCTGTATATTGAAATGTAGGAATAAATTTAAATTAAATTTGTCATTACACAAAAGTTGTGCCGTCTACAACTTTTGTGATATGCAGACTTATCCGTACAATCAAAAAAAAAAAAAAAAAAAAAAAATTTTAATGTACAAAATTTTGAAAAAATAAACTAAACACAAATTTCTAAATATTTTTAATATAATTTTAAAAGGGGGGATGGTGGAGCATCAGGATGATATTTATAAATTCTTGCCCATGTTGGTATTTCTTCCAAAAAGGCTTTAGGATCACGAGCTCGACTGTTCATTCGCCTGAGGAAAAATCTCATAGTTTTTCTTTCTTCTTCACTTCTGTCATCAGCTCCTAAATATGGCTTTAAAACTAAATTATCTTGAAGGTATGGAGCATTCAGTAAACACTTCAGGAGCATTTTGAAAACCTCATCATTAATCCCTTTGATTTTCCCATCTTCAACAGCGTCGAAGAGTCGCATTTTCCCAGACGACCAGCATATGTTCCGGCGGTCTTTTTTATCTACATCACTATGAAATGCAATGGTATTGAGCTGATATACATAAAAATTCCAATCCTGGCCATTGGTGAGAATTGTGTGAGTCACAATGGGATAAGAAACATCATGGAAAGGGGTAAAACCTTAAAAAAAAAAATTTAATCTCATTACATTACTTATCAACAAATTAAAAAAATATGTTACTTATCTATTACTTTGTTACATTTTAATATCTATTACTAATGAAAAAATTTACATTTAGTGTGGTAAAAGAAACTATAAAACAAAAGCTAATCATCTCACAATTAATGGCTAAATATTAGGAAACACAACACTTATGATTATAGGTAGCTGGCCCATGAAAATATTATCTATGTAAATCTCTATTCCAAACTTTTACAAACATAAATTTTGCATGTACAAATATGAAACTTTTTATATTTAAATTAACAGGATGGTAATAATTAAAGTGACACTACTCAGACCTATGTAAAGCCCATTCTTGTCAAGGTATTTCACGAAATTTGGTATATGCATTATATGAACCATGTAAAAAAAAATGCAATAAAAATGAATAGTCCAAATTTCAAACATCAGGTGAAATTGGCACATAAAGAACAAAAAATAAAAATTCTGAATGTTAAACTTTGATTAGTGTATTTGTTTAATGAACTTTGCATTTGTATCAACCATTTGTTCAAAACATGTTAGAACATGTACAATAATAGATCCAAGGGTTTCTTGAGGAACTGAGCAGCAACATGGCATTAGAAGTGTAGTGATCGCGTGGTGCGACAGACCTCAGTAGCTTCGAGTGAGTAGTTGCTTGCTTGAATCACCCTCTGATTAGCACCAATGAGAAATGCTGCAATGCACGAGTTTCCCATGCCCTTGAAGATGATAATGACCTCAGGATTTAATCCTGAGTCTGCTTAATACAAGTCGAATTCTCTACGATTAGCACAAAAGAGCTCTCGTGTGACATGTTCAAGAATTCCAACTCTTACAAATTTGTGAGCGTTGAGTGGCTCTCGAAATCACTACACACTTTCCTGCGTTTCTGATGCAATATGAGGAGAAGTTCGGTTAGGGGGCGTGACCGCGAGCTCAATGCATTGATGTGATTGATTGTTGCATTTGATGGGCAGTGACTGAAGTAGTCGGATCCGTTGATGGTTGGGGAAGCATGGTTGAGAAACCCCATTTGTTGGCATGTGTGTTACCATTAGGTTGTAAGGTGGATTGTGCGTGAAGCAGCACTTTTTAAGTGTGTTACATAGTTCATCATTTGCCCTCAGTGAAGGGAAGTATTTGTAGTTCTCTGGGTTGCCAACGTAGCAATAACCTAATCACTACAGAAGTAATAGATTTGGACAACTACAGCTTTTAAACTCAATTTCAAACTACTAGATAAAATGTAGTTATAGAGAAAGAGCTTCACAAGCAAAGTGTTTTATGTTATAGCAGATTCCAATGAAATTTAAAATTCTCCTGAAGTTTTAAAGCTTGCAATGTACCCTTGATTATTTGGGTGCAAATTACCCGTTCTGTGGTTTACCCGTGTGTGCAATGCCCATGCATGCACACTCAAAGTTCTGTGCAAGAGTGTATAAAAAACAATGAATGATCTAATGATGGTTAAATTTTTACCATCAAATGTTACCGGTTTAATTCAGCTGATGGAACAAGATGTAATATCATCAGTGAAACGAGTTTAGTTTTCTGGTCTTCTCATAACTCATGTTGATGAAGATGATGATTTAATGATGTTTTGAAAAAAGTTGACAGTACTGGATGCCATATCCAGAGTAGAAAAAGCTTAATCAAAAGTAGAATCAATAACACTGCTTTGATCATGGAAAAAATTCTTCCTAATATAGAAATCAAAAATATATCTAATTGTGGAGAAGTGAAGGCAATAACTGAGTATGCCAAAAAACTGAAAATGAAAAATTCTTGAAAATGAAGATTAGGAAAAATCAAGGCATAGTTTGATGGTAATTTGACCAAGAGAGGCTAATGCTTGGGTGATGCAGATATCATTTCGAATGTCACAAGGACAGAAGAGGCAGAGATTGGTACTGAAAATACAAACAAAGAAGATACTGTTTATATTAGTTCTGTGACAGCTATGACTTCTGTTGAAACTCTTTTGCAATTCGTCAGTCAATGGAAATTTGAATACAGTGAAAAACAGCATTTCAAAAAATGCTCAGTAAAACTGGACAAATATTTAAATGTTCTTAAGAACAAAGTAAAATTACTGATTTTCTTTTAACAAATTAACACATACAATATGCATGAAAACTGATAGTTTTGATTATCTGTATTTTTTAATTATACATAACCTGCTTCTCAGACATTAGCCTGTATCATTGAGAGTGCACTGTATATACAAGGTCTGTCAATTAAATAACAAGATTGCATCTTTATTTTTAAGCACAGCAATAAGAACTGATTATAATAACTTGCCATACATGTTTATACATATCCAAACATGCATGATAAAAATAACATTTTCTGCAATTTAATTGATTGTCATTCACCTAAAGATCTATACCAGAGCAAAAAGAGAGCTGCAAAGAAATTTTTGTTGATATTCTGAAGCGATGTGAGATGGAATCGAATCTTTTTCAAAATTATCACATGCAATGAAACTTGGATTGCAGTATTATTCCGTGATGATGCACTGAAATATTCCTAAAGTAAAAACAGAACTGAAAGGAATACATTTTAAGTGAGTGGATGTAGTAAAGAAGAAAACACCCTCTATTTTGAAACAGCTGATAAAAACTGATCTACTCCATACTTTTAAGCAGCAGTAAAACAAAACTCACCCATTCAAAATTGCAAATAAGTAGTATATTGAAGTACAAGTACATAAGAGTTATCGCATAAATAATTTAAAGTGTTTATTATATTAGTCTTGCTATGCAATAAATATATCTCTTACTACTTAATATGCTATGCACAGCTGTATTTGCACATGCAAATGTATGTTTTCTTGCATATTTAGAGTGTCTGATTATTTGATGCAATATAATACTTCCTTAATATAAAATAAAATTACTAGAAGATAAACTATACAAAATATTTTGAAAAGAATACTTATTTTTAAGAAAAGTAAATTAAAACACAATGCACTTAAAATTAATACCTTGATATGTAGCAACAGCATTCAACCATCCAAAAGAAGACATCATGGCAACACTATCTTCTATCTTCTTAAGATTATAGTATTGTAACTTGCAGAGTAGTCGGTTAAGTATGTCAGATGTGTTCACAAGCAAAAAGGGAAACTCGAATGGATCGCCAGGCCAGTAGCCTATAAATTATCCAAGGTGAAAAAATAACCTCAATATTTGGTACATAAAAAAGGCATACATTTGAAAGGAAATTTTAATAATCAACAACATTTATCCTAAATTTAACAGGAGCTTCAGAGATACATGTTAATGCATTTTGGCATACAAAAGCATCAATCTAGCTTCTTCACTATCGATTAAAATATAATGAGCAGTAAAATTTCATTTAGTTTTACATGATCCCTATATCCCCCTTTTCTGGTTCTAGTACACTTAAATAATATAATTTTGAAAACAGTTTCAAGGGCAATATTTTTTTATTACTTAGTTGGATAAAGCTTACTTAGTTACTTTTATTACTTGGATATACTTAGTTGGATAAAGAACAATTCACTACTTGGAAATTTCTTTGAAAAAGAAAATGTCTATTTCTGTACTTTTACTAGAAGATATCCCTAGACCAAAATCAGAACTGCTTGAAAAACTTTTTTTTTTTTAAATCTAATTTGCTTTTTTAAGTAAAACCATTCATCTGTGACCAATTGTTCAGGCTATTAATGCAATCTTTTTTAAAAACCTTATATCACATTAACCTATGATACACTTATATTCTGCTTCATTTTCATGATTATAACAAATATTACTAATAAATGCAAATTCAGAAAAGAAAAAAAATTATTAAAATCTTCAAATATGAAACAAAAGTTTTTAACATAACTGGAATCAACTCTTAATAGATCTTTAACTTCATAAGCTTTAATTAAACACATTCCCGCTTCAAAGATACACTTTGCGCCATTTTACTCTGCGTGCCACATCACTCTTTCCCTGAAATTTCTCTGCATTGCAATACCTTTAACCCAGTCACTGCTCAGGATTAACATAAAGATTTTCCAGCTATAAATAACAACCCATGGTAGTACATAATTGCTTTTTCTCGCTTGCTGTTGCTTGAGTAAATCATGTTTTGCGTTCTTTCTTCATTGTCTAAAATGTAAACTACATATATTGAAATTGTGGGGCACATTTAGCATCCATAGTGTTGTACAAGTTTTACGAAAAGATATATTTCTGAATAATTGTTCCTGTGAAAAATAAAAATGATGTTTTAACCATCAAGTCAGTTGTGATTTACACACTAATCGCCATCTACACAAGTCTTCTCAGCCCTGAGTCAAGCGTAAATTGGTTTTCAGTTCCCACAAAAACTATATCATCACAGAGAGTTCGTAGGATATTTAAAAACTATGTGGCTGATCCCAATGGAATAAATGAGTGAAAGAGATCCGAGAAGTTTATCATCCAAAATGTGTTGATTTTGTGCGCAGTTACCATCAGTGATTAAGTGCATATTTTAAAAGGAAACCGAGTCAAGGTTATTATGCCTCTCAAGTGCTGTGTGAGAAGTTTTTTTGTTCTTTGAATGGGTGTCTAAAGTTAGCGAGTGTGCTTCATTCTTAAAGTTAAAAATCACCTAATTCAAAAAGTGAAAAATTACACTGAAAGTGTGATTATATGCCTTGGTCTACATATATTGATATTTGTTTTGATTTTTTCCATCAGGGTGCTTTTAAATCATTTTTCTGTGTTTTGATTTTAATACCATGTACAGTCAAAAGTCTTTAATCCGGACGTCCATAATCCGGACCTCAGTTTAATGTATAATGGACGGTATAAGCTAAGCTAAAATTATCTAATTCAGTTGATGCTGCAGATTGCGTTGTTCTTTAATCTTCTAACTGGATCCAGCTTATTATTTTTTACAGACTGTTAGAGCAATTTTATAAAAGTAAGCTTGAACTTTTGATTATGTCAAAAAGAATTTCCGATTCTGGAGCTGCCAAAGGATCTGCAAAGCGAAAGCATGTTTCGATGTCCATCAAACAAAAAGTGGAATTGCTGCAAAAAATGGATAAAGGCATATCCTTTGTTTCTCTAACCATTCCAAAATCTGTTTATCAATTTCACGCTGCTCTGTGGGGGGGGGGACGTCGCTGGTAGTTGATCTGTCAGCTCTATCCTCATCTTCAGCGCAGATGTTTTACTTTATTCGGCTTATAATTCCTTAGTAAATGTAGTATTTCATCTCGATGTACTCCGTCTTTGATATGATTTAAATCACATTCCTCGTCATTATAAATATGATGAATACACATCAAATAGTTTTCTGGTTGCAATTTTTTAAGTTTGACTATGTGTAATGCATGCTTTACACATGCGCGCATTGAAAGAAATGGTTAATAAAGTAAACAAATAAATATTAAGCTTTTTTTTTTGTAAATTTTGATACCCTTTAGATCATAATTGCTCATTTCATAAATTATGGTTTCATATTTTTAATTAACGACTTTTGACTGTGTTAGTGAATATGAAGTATAAGAAGTAAAATTAAAAGGTTACAAATTTAGTTCATTTTCAGTCTGATAGTTCAAGGGGGTATATCTATTGCACAGGTCTCTTAAGGTCCCCTTTTTTAGTTTTTACCACACATGATCATACAAGACCATCACGTCCTTTGAGGACTTCAATTACTCAACCTAAATCCCAGAGGAATTTAGATTTAGTTGTTCCTTCAAGTTAAACTATATCACCAATTTTAAGATTTTTCTTGGCTTCTGGTGTACCGAAGAAGTGAGCATTTCTTAACTCAAGAAGATACTGATTTTTCCATTTTTTCCAGAACTGTTTTATAAGTGTTGTCTGATGTTCTTTTCGTTTTATTAGACTCTTTCTTGTTGGAGAGTTATTCAGGATCTCAGCAAAGTTGTATGGATATTCATCCTTATGTCCGATCAATAAAAAATCAGCTGGTGCAAGCGGTTCAGGTTCATGTAAATCGTTGTAAACGTAGGTCAAAGGACGTCTATTCACAATATTTTCGACCTCTGTCAACACAGTCATAAATTCTTCAAAATTCAGTTGAGCTCTACCTAATATCTTTTTCAACGGTTCCTTTATGGTTTTCATAAGACGTTCATAAAAAGCTCCCCACCATGGAGCAAGCTCGACGATAAATTTCCAAGTCAAGCCTTCATTTGCTAGAAAATTTTGAATGTCTGTACCTTTAATTATGCTGTAAAAATACTGTAAATCTTTGGCAGCATATTTGAAAGTTTTTGCGTTATCTGAATAAAAGGTGTGACAGTTTCCTCTTCTTGAAATGAAACGTCTCAGAGCCAAAATGAATTTGTTTGCAGACATATTGGAAATGAGTTCTAGATGTAACACTCGTGTAACAGCGTACGTAAACAATATGATGTATGATTTCTGAATGTCGTTTCCAGACCTGATGTAAACTGGACCTGTGAAATCCACGCCTGTAACATAGAAAGGTGGAGTTTCAACAATTCGATCTTTAGGTAACTGAGCTGTCATTTGTTTCGCTGGTTTTACTGCATATTTCCGACAAATTAAACAGTTCTCTAAGACTTTCTTTACCAGGTGACGGCCTTTAGGAATCCAAAATTTCTGTCTTAGTTTGGCTAAAGTTGCTGCAACTCCCGCATGCAGAACGTTATTATGTTCCCTTTTTACAATTAATTCAGTAAATTTGGAATCTTTAGGAAGAAGAACTGGATGCTTCTCGTCAACTGTATATTCGGTTTCTTCTAATCTTCCCTTAATTTGAAGAATTTTATTTTCATCAAGAAACGGTGCCAAGCTGAATATATCAGAGCTTGGAGAAATTGACTTGTTAGAATTGAAGAGCCTTAATTTCAGGTGTGAAGAAATCCATCTGGGATTTACGAACACAAAAAATTTCAGTGTCCTGAATTTCAGAAGTACTTAATGTTCCACTATTAGCAGGCAGTTTTCTTGCCTTAGCAACGAAACGTCTAATCCATGCCATAATTCTGAGATATTTCAGCACATTACTGAATTTTGTTATATCCAATAGTTGACCATCTCTTTTCACAACAATGTCATAAACAGATATTTTACTACAGAGTTCTAGTTGTTTATTGTTTCCCACGTCAAACTTCGGTTGAACTGACCAATCTATACGTTTGTTTTGTAACCATTCTGGTCCAAACCACCAACGTGAACAATTTCTTAAATTAGCAACAGTAGTTCCTCGTGATATGAGGTCGGAGGGGTTATCTTTCCCACGGCAATAATGCCAATTATTGCTTTCAGTTAGTTTCTGAATTTCATAAACTCTGTTTTTGATGAAAGATTTAAATCTTTCGGGAGATCCCTGAATCCAAAAATACGTTATTTGAGAATCAGTCCAGTGGAAGGGGATTACTTCGTATTTTAAACATTTTGCGATTTTATCACTCAATCTAGCAGATAAAAGCGCACCCAAAAGCTCCAATCTAGGAAGTGTAAGGGATTTCAGAGGTGCAACTCTACTCTTGGAAGCAACAAAAACTGTTTGAAAAGTTCCATTGTTCAAAACTATTCTCAGATATACCATGCATCCATAAGCTTTCAAACTAGCATCAGAAAAGCTATGGAGTTCTATTTGTTTCACATCTGCATCTAATATTCCTTCTAAATAGTAGCGGGGAATTCTGAGGTGGTTCAGTTCTTTAATTTCTTCGTACCAGGCTTTCCATTTATAACTAAGATCAGGTGGCAGTTCATCGTCCCAATCAATTTTGGCAGACCAGATTTCCTGAATCAAACACTTTATTCTTATAGTGAAAGGGGCATAAAATCCGACAGGATCAAAAATACGGCCTGCGGTTTGCAATAGAAAACGTTTTGAGCTGATTGATGAGGAAATGAAATTTGTCAAGTGCTGTGTGTCAAAATAAAAATTATCATTATCTGTATCCCAGTTAATTCCTAACACTTTGATCGGAACAACTTCAGAAGATTCTTGCATCGAAAATTCTTTGCGATGCCAAATATTTTTGAGTTCTTTGGAATTAGTATGCCACTTATGTAGTGACATGCTAGCTTCATTGAAAATGTTCACAATTTCTAAACTTGTTTTCAGGGCTTGTTCTAAATTTTGGTGACCACCAATAATGTCATCAACATATAGGCAGTTGTTTAAGAGTTCTACTGT